ACCCATGCTCGACGACGGTTCCTCGACCGAGCTCACCGTCACCACAGTACCATGAATGACAGAACCCCTAGCTCGCGATGGGAAGTTCTCGCCACGGACTCAGGCCACGACCGTGACCTGAGCTTCGCTTTGCCCGAAAATAACCTAGGCCTTTCGATCAGTTCCCTGCACTGTCGAACATCATCCATCGAGCATACCCAGAACATAATAAATAACTAAGTGCCTCTGACGACTGCGTTGGACGGCGCAGGACACTTAGAGAATATTCAGCAAAATACAAACATACAAACATACAGGCATACTACATACTTGTACATATAATTTAACACGGCCACAAAGGACCGCAATTGTGCATGATACAATGAAAATAAGACCGAGCCCCACATAATCAAATTACAATAAAAAATACATATAATCAAATGGCACGCAGGTTAAAGCATAAAACTACTCGTCTTGTTGAACTTCCTCGTGCAACGCCTGCCCCTGGTCATCCCCGCCCTCGGTAAACTGGAGGAATTCTAGAATGACTATCTGGTCTTCTTTGACCTTTTAGAGGAACCATATGCCCTCCGTAGTCAGCTCAACTCTCGGGTTCACCACGTTTATCTGGTCCACTGCGTTCTGGAAGGCCTCCTCGCCAATGGCCACTAGGTCGTCAGCAGCCTGGACAAACTTAGCAACCAGCTTTGAGCGAGTCGTCAGCTACTTTGTCTCTTCAGGCTCGTCCTCAGCAGGGGCAGCCGCAGTCTGCAACTTCTCCACCATGTCCTTGGCAGCCTTCAACTTAGTGGCCACAACGTCCCTCTCCAAAGCCACCTCCTCGTGACCTTTGTGGGCAGCATCCTCGAGCTCATTTTCCCTCTCATCCTAGAGTTTCTTAACCTTCTCCTCTAGGGCCGTCACCGTAGCCTGGGATCTCTTGAGCTCTAGATCCAACGGAGAGCCCTCCTCAGTGTACACCACGGCCATTTCCAAGACCCTCATTAGAGCAGAGGCATCTTAGGCAAGAATGACCCATTTGCTGGGACGATCTATTTTGCTTGAGCTTTAGAGATTTTGCCCAAGGAATGGATAGAGAGGACCCCTCGAGAAATTTCCTATTGTGAAAGCAGGGGGCAACTCGTACTTGATTTTGGTTGACTCCCGGCTAAGGTCCACGACCTCATTTGAATGGGCATGCTTGGGCCTCGAGCTCACGAGCTGAGGCGACATCTGGGTGGACGAAAGAGTTGAGGATGATATCCCCAACCTTGTCTCAGGGGGAACCGTTTGCTGACCAAGACGACTCTTCCCTAGAGCAGTGTTGCTCTTCATTTTCCCCTGGGCATGTTTCATCATCCTTTCCTATGCTGAAGGCATCATACCTGCAAAAATAACAAACACGTAAGCACGGAGAAAGAAAAAAAAATTCCGAGCAGAATAAGAAAAAGTGAGAACTACCCAGGAGCTCAAAAGCCTCCTCATGAGTGTTGCACTCGAGGAGTTCTTTAGTGTTGATGTATCGGGATTCCATATGCAGCCCCTCGTCCTCCTCGTATAAAAGTTGCCCGACGCGAGTCATGCACTAGGCAGGAAGGAAACCATCTACATAGGCCACCATCTTGGCATAGCTGGCCCGATCATCCTCCACCAACTAATGAGGGGAAATTATGTACTCATCAGTTGAGCGGGTAAAGTGAGCCCCACTCCAGTAGAAAGGAAAGGTAAATAGCTTCCGAGCAACTCTCTTGCCCTCCTCATCTATCAGGTCCTCCCTGTTCTCATCCGTGGAGACCTCCCATACGAACATTGAATCGGTGGCCCTCTCTGACACCAGTTTGATCACGTAAAATCACTCCTTAAACGTCCAGATAAATTCGGAGAAGGGTTTCAACAACTTCCTCCCTTGCTTCAAAGAAACCCATCCAAACTTTCTCCCTGATACTTGCCGTTGAAGATGAAAGACGGTGAAGAAAAGGGGGAGGGTGGCCCCGATTTGCAGATGCTCACACACCAGCTCGTATGCCCACATGAAGGCGATGGAGTTTGGGTGCAGTTGAGAAGGCGCCAGGTCAAGGTGCACGAAGACGGTGTGTTGTAAAGTGAAAGGGCGCGCAAAGGGACGAAAACAGAATCCTCGACCTAAGCCCTACTCAAATGGCGCAGCTAAACAAATGGGGAAGGTGCCCGACAGTTCTCCCTAATGCACACGGGGATAGTCCCCATTCACAAAACCCAGTAATCTTGCGGGGAAACCACTGAAATCCATGTCACTTTAGCAGCGACGCCACCGTGTCTTCCCTACCCCGGAATCAACTGAACCTATGAGTTACTAACTTACCCTTCCTAAAAAGAGCAACTACACCGCCATCAGCAGATAAATGGCCGCGCCACCGTCTGCCAATAACATCCGCTGCAAAATACACCTTAACTAAGTCATTTCAATCCTAACCACATGCAATTTAAGGCATCAAAACAAAAAAACAAGGAATACGTAGAGAGTTGATGCACTTACGTGGTCGAGGAAGAAGTTCTGGAACAAAAACAGCTCTGGTCGGACGTCGTACGGTGGTCGGAACAGGCTTGAAGGCAGCGAATGGAGGTTGAAGAAACGAGCACAATAGGAGAAAAAAGCAAAAGTTCTGAATGAACAGTCTCTCTCAATATTTATCTGCAAACTCCAGGCATGTGCACGAGCACGTACGGGTAGAGCATCATCATGACCCTAGCCTAGCCATCATCACGCATTTAATACAACACACGGCTCAAGGTATAAGTTTCATCTCCACTCTTTAGATCCCATCAATCGTTGAGCTCCCCGACGATGACATTTCTGGCGTTCGGGCAAGTGTTCATCCGAACACAAGAAAGCTCATGGCGACTATGCCCGGGAAACAGACCATCCTTAAGTCATCGCTACCGTGCCCAGTAGCAATGACTTGGAGAGCTACTGTTCCGGACTGGACCAATGGCTAGACATGACCCAATCCACTTCTGCTCTTAGAGCGGCCTAATTGCCCAGGTCCAACCTCTCTGGTGGAGATTTTACCTTTTTGCCCTTCTAATAGGGGAGGCTGACCAATTCACCCTTGGTCACAACACCCCTCCCCTTCAGTCTCTGCCCGTCACGCACGGTTCCACCATCCAGAAACAGCCAAGACGCCTGTGCGTGTAACTATACCTCTACCCGTCCCAACGGCTAGTTATGGGCATGTCTGTCCGTCCCAACGACTATTTTTGACAGTTACCTATTCTCTGGGAAACAGTTATCTCGCTCCGAAAATAGGGACCAATGGCCAAGCGCTGGGGGCATTATAAAAATCCTCTCATTTGAGAGGGTCAGGTATCCAATTTCTCACCTTGAAACACACATATTTTGTACTTGCTCGCTCTCTTACTCGTTCTCTTACTTTAACATCAGAGTGCCTTGCAGGTACACCTCCTCCTCCTCTTTCACACCCAAGATCACAAACGCTTGTCCTTGGCCCATCTCAAGTTCTGATCGTTCGATAAGATCAATTTTTATAAACCAAAATTTTTATAATTGATCATGATTTTTCAACCTACATAATTTACCTTTTTGTTGTGCTTAGAATCACTTATCTCAAAAAATTTAATGTATTGATCTTTTTGGGATGAATTTTTTCCAATTCTTTTGAAGAATTATGTTCTGGGAGCTGTTGAACCTTGTGGTTTGACTTTATATATTGTTTTTCGTAGTGAATAAGGGTTGGTCCTATTTTGCTTCTTGAATGTAGATCTAGAAGTATGTGGTCTTTTTTAGGAGTAAAAATCCTCTTCATTTCTCAAGAGTAAAAGAGGTGGCTATTTCAATACTTTTGGTATAAATAAAAGATTATTTTTATCAATATTTTAAAAACTGAATCGAATCGTCCGTTTTATTTGGTTAGACAAAAAATTAGAGTTGAATTCAATCTGATTAATCTTTTAAAATAATTAGTTGGTCAAAACTAGAATAAAACTAAAAAAAATCGGATTGAACCGTTCAAATTAAAGAATCGGCGTTGATTTTGCAAAACTGTCTGATTAAAAAATGCATCAAATCAGTCATTTTAATTTTTTTTTAATATACCAATATAAAAACTTAAAACATTCCTCAATTATAAAATAGAATTTCTTCTTTATCGTAGTTCAACTCGAATTTGTTTATTGTTGTTTAATAAAATATGTTGTATTGTTTATTTTTGTATTTCTATCTTATTTAATTTAAATATTATTAATTATTCTAATTTTATTTTGGTTGTTATGTTCTCTATTATTTTAATTTTGGCTTAAATTAGTTTAATTTATTTTTTTTAAATTTTTTAATCTATTTAAATTATTTTTAAATGAATGTTGAAATTAGATGTCTATGTGTGATGTGATATTATATGTATTATTGATATTGTTGTATTGAGTTTGTAATGGATTTTTGAAATATTTATTTAATTAAGTTGTGAACATATGATTGTGTGTGACATCTCTATAAAATTTAGTTTCATATTATTTACTTATTTAATAAACGATTCGATTATATGATTAACCAATTGAACTAATTGAACTTTAATCCAAACTGATTTGATCTCCGATCCAGTTTTTTAAACATTGATATTTACACGCATTTTTTAAAATATGACATTATTAAACTTTATAGATTCAAACTATAGTAATAATCACCTCCATTTCTTTTGAAACACATAGAGAAACACAAGGAGGGTATTTAGACGCATGGTACTAATAGAATGTTGAATAAAATAACCTAAGGAATGGACTAATAAAACAGCAGAAAATTCAACGAAGCTTACCATGTTTATGTCATCAATGCTAACTTTGAACGTTCTTGAAAAACTAGACTTTTTAGTTTGAACAATTTTCCACATACGGCACCTTAGTTTCATAATAATAACTAAGGTCCTGTTTGAGGCCTATATATACTTGCCTTATTTCCCACTTTCTACTCACAAAATACTCTCTTCTCTTCTCATCCACATTATTATTTGTTCAATTCACTCCCAAAAAAAATGTCTCTCATAAAAATATCATTATTGTCTCTGTTTACTCTCTGCTTGATATCTGCACAGGCAGCAAGGTTTGACATCGTCAACCAATGCTCTTACACTGTCTGGCCAGCTGCCACTCCCAGCGGCGGAGGCAGGCAGTTAAACTCAGGCCAAACATGGAGTATAGACATCCCAGCTGGAACCTCGTCGGGCCGAATTTGGGGCCGAACAGGTTGCAATTTTGACGGCTCAGGTCGTGGTAGTTGTCAAACCGGTGGCTGCGGTAATGTCATCAGTTGCACCTTATCCGGTCAGCCTCCACTCACACTTGCTGAATTTACCCTTAACGGTGGAAACAATCAGGATTACTTTGATCTATCAGTGATTGATGGTTTCAACATTCCAATGCAATTTGCTCCAACCTCTAATGGATGCAACAAAGTTCGAACTTGCAGAGAAAAGTCTTGCCCTGATGCTTATCAGTATCCGAGTGATGATACTAAAACAGTTTCATGCCCAGGTGGTACCAACTATAGAGTTGTCTTCTGCCCTTAAAATATAATATAGCTCCACCACCCTTTTATGTTTCTTTCTACCGTCAATAAACAAAATGTAATATTTTGTATGCACTTTGTATAAGATGTAAAACAATATTGCTTAAGCTAGGCGTGAAATTATTTATAAATAATTTATCGCCAAAGCAATATTATGGTATAAAAAAATAAGAGCTTCTATAAATCCAGTCTTTTTTTTTTATCTAATTTTTTTTTTTTAAGGAAAAAGTTTTTTCTGGTTTTTTTCTTATAATTTTTTTTTTCTAAAAAAATACAACTTTGTCATATGAAGATTTCTTTGACTTACATTTTCTTGTGATCATTTTCACTTTGAGAAGTTGATGTGGCAAATGGGTGTTGACTGAATCTAAAACTTCATTACCACATGTTTCAAATATTCAAAACATTACACATTATCATTATATAATAAGGCAGTCTAGTCATTCAAAAAGCACACACATTGTCCCAAATGTCATACTAGTTAAACAAAAGTTAATTAACCACGTTGTATCAACGGTCATACTAACTAAACAAAGTTAATTAAACACATTATACCAACTGCCATACTAATTAAACACATTATACAAATCACAACATAGCAAGACAGTAATTTCTTCAGTTAATGTGTCAGTCTCCATCCTTAGCAATTCCATCAGTTCCACTTATTGCATAGTGTCTAGCTGTCTTAACAAATGTAATTTTCCTTCCATTTAATAGTGACTCTTCAATTATGTCATCTTTGTAATCAGTCAATGAATTAAATTTCATACTCAGCTTGAATTCATAGTTTTTCCCAAATTACTCCTTAAACTTTTCATATTTAGGTAACTTTTCATCTTCATAAGCATCTGAGTTTGAGCTATATAATTCATCACTCACATATTGTTCTTCTCCATCTTCCTTGGGTTTATGATCTCTTTCTTCAGAAGCATCTTTTGATTTCTTAGCTGGTGAATCACACTACTAGAAAAATTCTGTTTTTCTGCGGATTTTGACAAAGTTTCCGCAGGAAACGTGTTACCTGCAATTCTTCCTGCTATTTTCTGTTTTCAGCTAAAACCTTCGTGGGTAATTAATTTAGTAGGTAAAGTCGCAGGAAAATTTCGCAGGAAATTGTTAAATATAAATCCAAAATCGCAGGTAAAGTCTCAGGAATTTCTACGAACTTTGCTGCTAACTCAAATTTCGCAGGAAATAATGCTTCACAATATAAATTTATTGGTAAAATCGTAGGTATATCTACGGATAAATATCCACAGAAAAATCCGCAGGTAGTTCAGTAGTGTCACCTTCACTTCCATCTTTTTCTTCGAGGTTAATTTATTCTTCTTCATAGGTGACTTACTTCCACTCATCTTAATCCTATATGACTTTTTATTTATCCTCCTCACTGTCATCAAACCTATCATTCCTTGTATCATCATTACTTTCATTTGCATTTTTATCACTTGATTCATTCCTAACATTAACATCAATGCATTGAGGTTCAACCACTTTGACCTTGATGTCTTTTACATTGTGTTCAACATACGAATGACTTTCAATGGAGTTTTCAACAACATAAGTAGCAACATCAATAGCTTGATCATCCTTATTAATTTCAAAATAACAATCAGATATACCTTCAAGTTTGTTCCATACCCTAAACTTGTTTATTTCATAACCCTAGTCAAGAACGATATTCATCACGTCATATAAACCTTATTTTTCAATATTTTGTTCATAGACAGTGCTTTGAACCCCCACCTTGTAAAACATTGTTTTCTCCCCCAACGATCTCTCCACTGTGATGCAAAACCACATTGAACATGATTAACTTTGAATGAAGCTTCGTTTCCAGAACATGAATCCTATCGTCACTTTTTCAATGTTGTTTTCACTGCAACCTCAACAATCTCATATCATCACATGGGTTCAACATATCTCCCTCCAAACTCAAGAATCTCTAACAGAAATTTTCCTCTTATTCTCAACTCAATTCTCATCATCTCTACGCCTATTTAAAACAAATTGCACAAGAAAAAAAAACTACACAAAAATTCTGCTCAAAATAATTCAAAGCTTCCTCCAAACACCTTCTATCAGAACTCTTCAAGAGACTTTTAGAGTTTCACATTAAAGCTCTAAGTGACCTGAGCTAGAAACTCTTCACTTGCAAACAGAGCAATCACACTTTGTTTTAATTGTAATTCCAATTTGAATTGAAGTTGTGTTTATTTGAAGTTCCCTTGAAATTATGATGTTGAAATGTAATGAAATGTATTGAGTTTTGAAATGTATAATAAATGTTTTCTTAAAATTTGGTTAAATGGAAAATATGGTTATACTGTACGTGAACAGGAGGATTGCAAGTGGTTCCAACAAAAGCTTGCCTTAATTGGCTTGGAAAGCGGGTTGTTAAACTTGATCAAAATGACATTAAAATTTTGGCTTCAAACTAAACTTGTAGTGTGGCTAAATGACTCGAAATATTATTCTAAAAAACAATGGCTCAAGATGGCTCAAAATAGACTTGGACATTTAATTTGAAAAAAAAATCAAGAGTTGGTTTAAATAAAAGACTTGACAATGGACTTGAAATTATCAAAGAAATTGATTCTAAATTTAATTTAAAATCAATTAAAAATCCAAAATTGAAAATCTTAAAAATAATTTTGAATTAACAAAAAAAAAAGAAAAATGGATTTAAGATGAAGTTAATTTGACTTTGTTGATTTAGACTTTTGACTACAAACTTAGACTTTCTTTGAATTTTTAGAATGAAGTGGATTTTGTTAGAACAAAATTTGTTCAGGACATATTTCTTGAATTTTGATGACAACAAAATATTAAAAGAATAACGGTTATATTTTATGTGTATTTTTTTGGAAATTCACCTCACACCCTATGAAGAATTCTCTTCAATCTTGATCTCAAGATTGATGAACAAACCCACAATATGATAGTAATGGTGATAACAAGTAAAGAGTTATCAAGAACAACAAAAGAGAAGAAGAATAACAAACAAACAGCAAGAAAGAGAAGAATAAGAGAAGAAATATTTGGAGAAAATTGTGTTACCCACAAACTGTGGGATTTCTGATTACTATTGAACTTTCACTTGCTAAACTCTGCAACTGTGAAATATATTTTATGTTTGATTACAAAGCAAGACACCTATTTATAGTTTTAGGTTTACAAAAGCCCAAAACATAAAAGATCCAAAATATTCAAAATCAAATCTAATCTAAATCATATCAAATCTCATCAAAACAAATCTGTGTCAAAACAAACTATTTCAAAACTTCGACACTTGATTTAGACTTAGACTGCTTTCTTGCTATTTCGACTTCAACACACTATGAATTATATTTAACACACCACCTAATTCATTGTGTTTAAACTGTCTACATTCATCATGGTTCTTAGTCTTCTGAAGGCTTCGACCTGCACTCCCTTCGTCATGATATCTGCAATCTGATTCTCAATTCTGCAGTGTTCCAACTTCATCTTCCCTTCTGCTACCTGCTCTCAAAGATAATGGAATATCATTTCGATGTGCTTGCTTAAGTCCATACAGGGCTTTATGAAGCCTGTACACCTTTCTTTCTTCGCCTTATTTCACAAATTCAACTAGTAGTGCAACATAAACTTCTTCGTCTAAGGGGCCATTAAGGAATGCACACTTCACGTCCATTTGACATGTGTGTCAGTTGTTCATATTTGCTAGACCAACAACCAACCTGATTTTTTCGATTCTACCAACAGGTGCGAATACTTCATCGAAGTCGATTCCTTCCTTCTGAAGAAATCCTTTCGCCACAAGTCTCGCCTTGTGTCGAGTTACTTCTCCTTTAGGATTTACCTTCACCTTGTAAACCCACTTCACATCAATTGCCTTTTTGCCTTGCGGCAATTCGACAAGTGACCAGGTATCATTGACTACGATGGACTCCAACTCTTCAGTCATTGCTTTCACCCACTTCGAATCTTTCAATGCCTCAACTGCATTGACTGGTTCGACATCTGCGTAGAAAGCATAATGTACCAGCTCACCCTCTTCATCGACTATATCACCTAATGTAATTACACATTCTTGCAACCTTGCAGGCATGTGCCTTGTTCGTCGAGGTATGCTTGAACCTGCTTCATCTGCAACTGGTTCCTGTCGAACTTCTATTTCGACTTCAGTGAGTGGTTATTCACAAGATATTCTCGCTGAATCCTTCTTGGCATTCTCAGTCCAATCCCATTCTTTAAGCTCATCTATGATCACGTCCCTGCTGATCACTACCTGCTTATTCACTGGGTCGAACAGCTTGTAACCTCCTGTCGAATGATATCCTATCAAGATCATCTGATTCGACTTATCATCAAGCTTCCTTCTCAACTGATCTGGTACATGTCTATGTGCTATAAATCCAAACACTTTCAAGTGACTGAGACTAGGCTTGACACTAGACCAACATTCTTCTGGTGTGATTCCTTCAAGCTTCTTTGTCGGACATCTGTTCAATATATATGTTGTTGTCGAAACTGCTTCTCCCCATAATTCTTTGGGTAGATGCTTTCCATTTAACATACTTCTCACCATATTCATGATGGTTCTGTTCTTACGTTCTACAATCCCATTTTGCTATGAAGTGTAGGGTGGCACCACCTCATGCACAACCCCTTCTTTTACACATAGTGTATCGAACTCTTTCGACACATACTTTCCACCACCATCAGTCCTCAGAATTTTCAGCTTTCGACCACTTTGTCTTTCGACCATGGACTTGAATCTGGAAGATACCTCAATCACATCATTTTTCTTCTTGATGAGGTAAGTCCACAACTTTCAACTATAATCATCTATAAACGTGACCAAGCATCTATTGATACCAATCGAATCCACCTGGATTGGACCACATACATCAGAGTATACGACTTCAAGTATTGCCTTCGACTTCCTTCCTGCATCCTTGTTGAATCTATTCTTGTGTTGTTTCGACTGGACACACTCCTCATAGACTTCCCTTG